ATATAAAGTTTCAGCGCAATCGGACGTAGCATGTCGCAGCACAGAATCATGTTAAAGTGTTGATTCACACCTGGACTGTCTACTTGTAAAAAGGTGCACGTTATGAATTTCTTTTTACTTCTTCGATCTTCCTCGACCAGGAAACGTTCACTTTTCGGTCTAATGAGCCTATAGAGAACAACAACAAATATTTCTAACTCCTTTTATCTACAAATATACTAAAGGGAGCGGAGAATATTTTGCTGCACACTGCTTGTTAAAAGCTTTTTTAGTTACTGAGTTCTGACCAAAAGAAAAAGAGGATAGGGATGTACGGAAAATTTTTCCGGTATCATCTCTGTCAGGAAAGAGCTACTCCACAGCCTGCACGAGTGCTGTTAGGTCCTGGTTTCTTTAAATAAATGTCATTGTTAGTAATTAATCAATATCTCTCAGACTTTATCGGACACATCTATTCAATTTTTAAAGATTCATCATTAAGTTATCCAGAGAGGGCAAGAGAGATTGAATTCCACTGTGAACGATAAACCGATTGTGTTCCTCGCTTTTTCAGATGATGGCGTTAATTATGATTGCTTTTTGTAGTTCACCGACGACACATCCATGGCTCTTTGCCTAGCCAACTCGCTGATAGCTCGTCATGATTTTGTTCCCTACGATCAATTGGTTCGTTACAAGTGGTGGTATCGAAATGGCTACATGTCATCGACTGGACATTGTTTTGATATTGGTGCGGCCACCAGACAGTCTCTTCAAGAATTTGAAAGACGTCAGCGAAAATTTGCGCAAGACCACAATATTCCCTTCAACCACATGGATTTTTTATCTGACCCTAATCTTCTCAATCAGTTTGACGTGAATTGTAGCAAAGACGGAGTGGCCGGCAACGGAGCTCTTATGCGTCTCACACCAGTACCGCTCTTCTTCCACCGATATCCGGAAATAGCCGTCGAGTACTCAGGCATTAGTGGTCGAATCACTCATGGAGATGAGAAGGCCTATGATGCTTGTCGCTATTATGGAGCTCTGATTGTGGCTGCTCTTAGTGGTGTGGAGAAAAACGAACTGATCAGTGACACATTTTATGATGTTCACAAGCAATGGTTCGGTAAGAGAACCCTTCATTCAGACATTATGGAGATTGCTCGAGGATCTTTCAAAAAACACGGTGGCTATGAAGACGGAATTCGAGGAAAAGGATACGTGGTCAAGGCTCTTGAAGCCGCTTTATGGGCGTTTTGGAGTGAAGACTCCTTTGAGAAAGGTGCTCTAAATGCTGTTAATCTGGGCGACGATACGGATACCACAGCAGCTATCTACGGCCAGCTGGCCGGCGCCCATTATGGTTACCGAAAATTGCCCAGCAAATGGCTACAATGCGTCTATGCTAATAATTTCATGCACTGTCTAAGTAGCTGGATCACCTACGAAGGAGAAAAGTGGTTTACAAATCAGAAGACACCAGATATGACCAAACCATCGAATCATTCCAGTCTAGCATCTCGCAATACGACATCCAATACGTCTATCGTCTCGAAACAAGACTCTGATTTGAGCAGTGAGAGCGGATCGATCATTGATGGCTCATTGGCCACCAGCGAGCGCAAGGCAATCGATCCTTCCGGTCACATTGGACTTTTCTACGATGCATGGCACGATTGTATACTGAAATCACCAAGTATTTCTATCAAACCAAACGCGCATTCGACAGCTCTACCTCCAAAGTGTCTGGTTGAAAGAGGCGACAAGCCTGAATGTCAAAATCTCCTTCGGTTCATCGGTTTTGACGATGAACTTCGATTGAGTGTGCAATCGGCCATCGCTCCACCGACGGGTATTGCCTCACTCGTCCAGTATCCCTTTTTAATTGATGAGTGTACTCGTGTTTTGTATTACTCCTATTTGGTTCGACACGAAGCATTGCCAGACGAAATTAATAACGCTAGAAAGAACATCCAACGATCGACATGCGAAACTGTTGCCACTCATGTCATCACTGGAGTTAACTGGGGCATTGATATTCTCATTCTACTACGATTGCCCCCAGATGATCCGAAGATGATTGACGACACACTTAACAATATATGTCAATATTTGAATAATGATACGAAATTATCTCGTACAGATTCACTTGACCGAATTCTTGAAAAACACATTTATTCGAACGCACCTGAATTAACCAAGAAGACGACAATAGTCGATGTGTGTCATGCAATACACAGATTAAAAAACGATCCTACTCATCATCAACCAGTTTCCTATATCCTTCAACCCATCAAAGTATTCTATCCTAATGGCAATAAAAATGATGACAGATTTATTCCATTCGAACCGAAAACTGCTCAGAGAATTGAGAAACATTTGCTTCGATTATCATGTGTAAACAAAATGTGGCTAACAATTCTTAGCAACGAAATATCTGACGTATTAAAGAAAGATCTTACAGAACAGTTGAACGAAGCATGTGACTTAAAGTTGAAACTAGCAAATGAATACGATAAGAAAAAGGAAACGTACGGAAATGCGATTCTAAATATTCGTCAAGGTAAATATTCACAAGAGGGGATCAATCATCATCTATTGATCGACGATGACCAAGAGATAACATGGAAACGCAGTATTGATGATTTAAAATATTGGCTAACAATGTTGAAAAAAAAAGAATGTTTTATCATGGAATGGAAGACTCGAGGATTTGAATATTGGAATGCAATCAAATGCGGTGTCGAACATGGCGACGATGATAACACCATCGAAAGGAAGCTAATGAAAAACGATCGGCAACGTATTCTTTGCTCTAATGATACATTGAATGAGAACAATTGGTCAACATTGGAGATGCTATGTTCACGCATGATTAATGAACGCTTGACGAAACCTGATCTGTGCCTTGTCTATGCCGATTTCGCCTATTGTTCGTGCGAGCTGGACGAGATAAAAGTTTTTCCTTCGAAGAACTACGGTATAAATACCAATCGGAACTCTGTGATGCTGACTACGACAAAATCACAGGATGTTGTTTCGAAAAAGTCCTCGACCGACCGGATCATCAACATTCTTCTCCTAGGCAAAACAGGCGTCGGCAAGTCAACGTTTATTAATAACTTAGAAAACTATCTGAAATTTAACAGTTACCCAGACGTTCTAGCAAGTAGATCAGCTGTGCGTGTACTCGTCTCATTTGTCGCTTTGATCAAAAATGACTTTGAACATCATTTCGTCCGCTCTGGCAATCCTGATCCTAACGAAGATCACGATCATCCTGGTCAATCGACAACTCTACGTTGCAAATCGTATATATTCGATATCGGTCATGGACAAAAATTACGCATCATCGATACACCTGGCATTTGTGATACACGTGGTCAGGCCCAAAATGAGCGAACTATGCAACATATACTGACGCATATGACTCATCTAATCCATTTGAACGCCATCTGCATTCTTGTCGACTCGGTCGACTTGGAATTCGACACGTGTAGGTCGTGTTTAACACAGTTGCTCTATTTCCTTGGAGATAGTGCTCGCAACAATATCATCTTCTGTTTCACCAAAGTTCTTTCCAGTCTGCTCAATTCTGATGAGCGAAATTCTCGACTCAATTCAATGCTTAAATTACTTCCGAACTCAAACATTCCTCTCAAACGCGAAAATACATTTGCCTTTGACAGTACCTATTTTTTTCATTTGACAAGAGCAAGTTATTTCGTGGCATCGTTTGATCAAAACTCAAAATGCGAAAAGAGCTGGTCGACTTCAAAGACTGAATGGGATCGTCTCCTAAAGTATGTTCGCGCGCTCTCTCCGTATTTTATACACCAAGGATTACAGCAAGCAGAATTTGTTCAACTCGAAATCAATGAAATAATTCGCCCCATGTTGGAAACAACGCGGAATATTTTTCGAAATCTTCTCTTATGGAGGGCACAACTCTCGAATGTATGTATGATTGAGTTACGCCCGAAATCTATTCGTCAGCCTTCCGCTATATGTTGCTCGTGCAAGCGTGACCTTCATCAATGCGGAAAGTTTTGGATTATGTCCGATTCGCTGCATGAGTACTGGAATAATTGTGACACGTGTTCGTGCAATTCAGAACGACACATCCCGGTTGATTATCAACTTGAATACGAGTTTTCAAGCAATGGAACGAACTATCGACCTGCTGATATGTCTGGCTTTCAAACAGAGCTTCTCCATGCAAGCGTATGCTTCGCTCATTATCTTCTGGATGCTGCTAGCATCTCGAGTAATGATCCATTCTTGTCCTGTCTAAATCGGATGATCGATGAAGAAAGGTACATTTGTGAACATAAATTTCCCAACTATTTCAATGTCATGTTGCATGATGCACTGATAGGGTTCAAACATGATTATCAACGCCAAATGAATGCCGTTGCACAGAAACATGCGCACAGCGATTTGACCATGGTCAATGCTTGTATCGAACGTGTGGAACAAATTCCCATGGTACGGAAACAAATGGATGCTGTCAGAAAAATGCAAGAAACTTCTGTATAGATACATGAATATCACAGATGAGCATAACCGATTGAGTCTCTAACAATATTCGACTGTAATAATCCCGATTTTTATAATACATTTACGTATCGCATAACTAATTAAACTCCATGATATATTGCTTCATTATATTGAATTATGAGAAGGAGTTCACTCAAACTGTTTGTTGTTTGGCGCTGCGCCCGTGTAGCAGAAAAAATCCGATTTATTTATTTTTTATATTTATTTCTATAATATTGAGAAACCTTATCTTTTTGCTGCCGGTGTTTCAGGAAACATGATCTGAAACTAATCCACGGAAAGAGGATTTCAAAATTTGAGGACACTACCTCAAAGTCGAGTTTCCCATCCACAAACTGAACGAAAATCACCAGTGGGATTGCTTTGAGAAGATGCGACCGAACAGTCTTGAATTGGATCAAGGTCAAAAACTCGAAGAAATTCAGATCGGGCGAAAACTTGAAAAAGCACTTTGATTGGAGTGATCGTCAGGAGATGGGAAGGTCTCCTTCTTCAGTCTTCTGATGATTGCCATTTATTAACTCGTATTTTCAGTTGGTTCTTGTACAGTGTTACAAAATTCGTTTTTTTTCATCCAATGACTCAAGGCAAGATGCGTATTTCTGTAAATGACACTGATTAACTTTTCTGCGAATGCTTATAGACGCATCGTCATGTATATTTATCGCGAAGAATATTATGAAATTCTTAAATAAATATTATAAAAAGCAGATTTTAAGTTAAATTCTTTAATTAACAAGAACGGTTCCTAATTTGTTTTTACTGATTGATTACTTGCAACTTCTAAAACCGCACCTACAAGAGCACCGTTTCTGTTTATTTTGAGAAAAATCTGTTAAAATTTCAAGATTCAACTAAACGGTTTTATCGGATCTAATTGGGTATTTCAAAAACAAAAAACTGGGGAACTTTTTTAGTGAAACAATATTAAAACTTTTACATTTTTTAGTTTTTTGATAACATCACGTTTTATATTCAGGTTTGATTACTCTTTTTTTGGAATCTGACAGAGTTTGATCTAGCGAGAAGTTAGAGAAATTTACTTTTTTCTTCTTTTGCTTGTCAAATTTGGAAATTTTCCGACCAGTCAATATGGATTGTGGCAACGTCTTCACCATCAGTGGGCTTCCTGTTCTGTTGAACTGCTTCTTAAATGAGATAAAATTTCTGATGTTCCTTGTAGCCAAGGTACTGGCTCTCACACAGCTTTTTTCACCAAGATTATTATCTATTGAATATAGTCAGATTGGCTAAAAGGAAAGTTAAGCATGAAACGTTCATAATTCAAAATTTACCAGTGCTATTTTTCTGAAAAGATGCTTCAAACACATAGCATATAATTTTTATAAACCTGTTTAACTATACTTTGATTTGTTTCTGTTATCCAGTATAAGTGTCACTGTCTTTTACAATTTTGAATGTAGTTTCAATGAAAGCTGACTGGCATGTCTAACGAAAGAGTGTCGTTCAAAACTAAACCTTTGATCTTTTATGACAATCTTAGTCGTTCTATTCTACTATTTTCACACATAATTTCTTTTCTTGGAAAACGTTATTTTGATAAAAAAAGCAGCATATTCCTAAGCCTATGTTAAAATGTAGAAGTTACCTGAAAGAGTAATTATTCATCATTAATGCTCAGTTTTATCTGACAAATAGTGCCATCCTTGAAAGAAAATTCAGAAAATGGGGGTGGAGGTAATTCTTTGAAGAAAGATGCAAAGCAAATTTTGTTTTGAGAGGATGATACATGTGTGAAACAGATATCATTCTAAGGATACTGCTTCTTTCGCTTTTACTCAAAAAATTTGGAAGAAAAGATGCAGAGGCTAAAAACTTTCCAATCTAAAATCTTATATTATCGAAAACTTGTAGTAGAAAATAAAACTACTATCGACGCCAGAAGTCAAGGCAGGTGGATGTTTTTTGAATAACTTTTGATTGGAACAAGGTAGAGACTTGCGATTTTCAGTTTTGAAATCGAGACATCTGATCACATATTTCTGTAAGCAAATGCAAATGCCAGAAAAACTTATGAAGCGGGTTTTTCAAAGGATCTTTGGAAAATTAGCTTGGATTTGCCACATAGGAATGTATTGATTTTTTTTCATGGGCTGATAGCCCGGGGTGTTCTCTTCAAAATGGGAGTAAAGTGAGACCTTGATTTTCTGTGGTTCGGACGTTGTATCGGATTTTCGACGAGTTCCAGGACTGGCACTCGGTGACTCTTGGTAGCCTTAAAGACGGATGGACTATGGGCAATCAACCATGCTGAGTCTCGTGGCAACATTTGTTTTTAGGAAAAGTTTTAAAAATCTATCGAAAAGCCAGTTTTACGAAAATTAGGGTTTTCAGGCTGTTTTCACTCAATATTAAAAAATTCACTATTCACTCAAAAAACATCAGAACAAGCTCAAAACTTCAGAATGTAGAGTATTTAAGCTATTCTATATCCTGTTTATAGGAGATCTTGAAATAAGTTTTAAAAACCCAAGGTTTCCCAAAAGGGTTTCTCGAAAACTTATTAACAAAAACGTGCTTTTAGATTTTTTTCGATATAAACAGGATATAGAATAGCTTAAATACTCTACATTCTGAAGTTTTGAGCTTGTTCTGATGTTTTTTGAGTGAATAGTGAATGTTTTAATATTGAGTGAAAACAGCCTGAAAACCCTAATTTTCGTAAAACTGGCTTTTCGATAGATTTTTAAAACTTTTTCTAAAAACAAATATTGCCACGAGACTCAGCATGGTTGATTGCCCATAGTCCATCCGTCTTTAAGGCTACCAAGAGTCACCGAGTGCCAGTCCTGGGACTCGTCGACAATTCGATACAACGTCCGAACCGCAGAAAATCAAGGTCTCACTTTACTCCCATTTTGAAGAGAACAGCCCGGGCTATCAGTCCATGAAAAACAATCAATACATTCCTATGTGACTTTCGGCAAATCCAAGCTAATTGTCTCTGATGAGAAAAATATAAACTATCATATTTGCAATCTTCGTCCGAACGCGTTCGGTAGCGATCCAGCAGAAGACACATTCGCTCACATTGTGCTTTAGTTAATTTATTCTCTCACTGGTTAGTTCCTTTAAAAGCTTCAATTTTATTCAATTTGCCTTTAGTCCAGATCAGGCATGCAACCATCCCAAGCTAGGGCTCGCCGAACTATCGGTTTGGTGCATGCGTAGTCCGTAACGCTCAGTATTGTTTGAATAAACCGAATCATTTAACTATAACTGATGATAGTTTGTTGTTAGAACGAACGCGTCGACCGCTATCAGCTGACATAAGAATGATCTCACAGTCTCATTTGTCACTGAAAAATATGTGGTGGAACTAAAACAACGTAAGTCCGTAACGCCTGGACAGGCCGATTATTCGTCAGCTCAGGAATAAGCTCTAATTTGAAACGCCAATTCACAGACTAATTCCGAGGCAACTGTTAGAACCTGCAGCGAAGTTCAACCAGAAAACTGTTTACTTTTCGTAGCACTGTTTTACGAGTGTTACACATTACGATAAATCACATGAATCTCTGTGCTTTCTGCAGACAAGAGCATCTATTTAAATAAATAACTTTATCTTCCTTAAAGGTTTTCTCTGCGCCAGAAGTGAGAGAGTACGTAGTATTTTTAGTACGAGTACGAGTGTACGAAATTTTACTTCAGTACAAAACTTTTGAAAAAGAGGATTATTTCTTCACGTAGAGAATTTTTCTCCTAAAGGTGTAACATTTGGGGAGCCTCCTTTGTTATCTAATATGCCTGAATATTTCATAAAATCTGTAATTGACAAAACAAAAACTTAAATTGAACTTTTGTTCCATTTTACAAAATGTCAGCATACACACCGTTGACGGGGAAACGCTTGATCGACGTGGGCATGATGAATCTACTTTGAGAGAAGATTCTTTCTATTGGTGCAGATATTGTTGGTACGATGAAATATTCATTGCTAATTTGGTTAAGGTTGACGATGATTGTTTCTTCTTAATCTAAAACGAATACGGACTATTAACTTTCATCCCCGGGGAAAAAAATTTAGAAACAGCAAGAAAAACGCGTTTATTCCGAACGTGTTAGCGAACGATCGTTAAAAGAGCCGTTTAAACGCGTTTTATGTCGTTCCGAAATTTAGAATACCGCGTTCTCTGTCAACACGTTTGCTAACGATCGTTAAATTAACCGTTCTCTGGCGTTTTTGTTGAACGCGTTTTCTAACGACGTTAAACTGATCGTTGAAACACATTTATTTTATATAGAAACGCGTTTTAACGTGTCATTTCTAAACGTGTTTACAAAAAGAAAAAAATTCGAAGTCATATCATTTTAACGTTGTTAGAAAACACGTTCAGCAAAAATACCTGAACTAAGATCTTTCTCACCTAACGTTTATTTACAAATGAAAAAGATTATCCTTAACAATAAAATTAATCTATTTATATACGAAATATTGCGCGATAGCTTTGAGTAGACTGTGTAATAACCTTG